ACAGCCTCAGGGTAGAAGCTGTTCCTCAGTCTAGTGGTTCTACACTTAATGCTCCTTAACCTCCTTCCTGAGGGGAGTGGGGCAAAAAGTGTGTGTGCTGGGTGAGTGGGGTCCTTCATGATGCAGGTAGCCCTCTTCCTGCATCTAGAGGTGTAGATGTATGTGATGGTGGGGTGACCGACTCCAACAGACTTCTGTGCAGCCTTCACCACTCTCTGCAAAGCTTTTCTTTCTGCAGCTGTGCAGCCTCCATGCCACACGTTGATGCTGGAGCACAGGATGCTCTTCACTGCACACCTGTAGAAGGAGGTGAGGACTGAGCTTCCCAGACCAGCTCGCCTCAGCCGTCTGAGGAAGTAGTCTCTGATGAGCTTTCTTGATCAGGCTGGTGGTGTTGTTGCTCCAGCTGAGGTTGTCATTCATGTGTACACCCACGTACTTGTAGCTGGAGACCACTTCCACCGCAGATCCTTTTATGTTCAGGGGGGTGTAGATGTTTTTGTTCCTTCTGAAGTCCACAATCATCTCCTTTGTCTTCTTCACAATGATGTGAAGGTTATTCTCTTTGCACCAGCTCTCCAGGTGTTCCACCTCTTGCCTGTAGCTGGACTCATCATTGTTTGTGATGCATTACACCACCGCTGTATCGTCTGCAAACTTTACAATATGGCAGCCTGGATGGGTAGCTGCACAATCATACATGAGCAGAGTAAACAGGAGGGGGGTCAACACACATCCCTAAGGAGAGCCAGTGCTGAGGGTTATGGTGGAGGAGGAGAAGTTGTGGATCCTCACTAACTGTGGTCTGTTTGTTAAGAAGTCTAGTACCCAGTTGCAAATGGAGGGGCTTAGTCCTAGTCTGGATAGTTTGTCCATCAGGGTTTGGGGGATCATGGTGTTGAAGGCGGATGTGAAGTCCACAAAGAGCATACGGACGTAAGAGTTTTTCTGCTCCAGGTGGTTGAGCGCAGTGTGGACCACAGAGGAGATGGCATCCTCTGTTTATAGGTTCTCACGGTATGCATACTGATGAGGGTCCTCGTTGATGTTGATGGTTGTTTTGATGTGAGTCATGACCAGTTTTTCAAAGCATTTAGCAACTATTGGGGTGAGGGCCACTGGCCGATAGTCATTCAGACCAGACACTGTAGAGCTTTTTGGGACTGGGATGATGGTGGCAGTCTTCAGGCAGGTGGGAACTGTCTCCAGGGTAAGTGAGGTGTTAAAGATGTCTGCCAGCACCTTGCAGAGCTGATCAGCACATTCCTTCAACACTTTTCCGGGGATGTTGTCTGGGCCAGTTGCTTTGTGCGGATTAATCCTCCTGAAAGTACTCCTTACTTCTGCTGAGGTCACGCTGAGGTGCTCTTCATCTGGTGTTGAGGTGAGTCTGGTGCTGGGTGGTCTGTTCGGGTCTTCAAAGCGTGCATAGAACTTGTTGAGGGCATCAGGCAGAGATGGGTCTTTGGGACATTGTTCGCTCGTTCCTTTATAGTCTGTTATGCACTTAATGCCCCTCCACATGCTCCGAGGGTCTTGTGAGATGAATTGACCCTCGGTCCTCTGTGCATATGTGGCCTTGACCCTCTTAATACCAGCAACCAGCTCTTTTCTTGTCCTACTCAGCTCCTCTGAGTTTCCAGACCTGAAGGTAGTGTTCCTGGTTTCCAGCAGGGTGCGCACCTCTGCATTCAGCCATGGTTTTCTGTTTAGGTAGCTTTTAACATTTCTGATAGTGGAGACGGTGTCAGTACATGTACTAATATAACCCAGAACTGAGGATGTGTATTGGTCAAGATCAAGCGAACTTCCATTTGATGAGTTACATCAACATTTAATTTCCCTCTGGGATTAATAATGTATTTTGTAATTGAAGTTAATTGAATTTGAATTGAGTTGAATTGAATGCAGCTCTATGAAATCCAAGTCCCTTGAATCAATACCAGAGGTGACCTGAAATTCGACTCCCTCTGCTGTAATACCAGGAGGAACACTAGTGTGTCTCTCCACTATATTGACAGGATTAGTCTTCTTCTATATGAACACACAATTGTCAAGAATGGTAAGACAGAGCTGTGATGACTCCATTCCTCATCAGCCCATATATTCTGGTGATAATCAGCCTAAATGTGTTGCTGGTGATTTTGTCTTGTGTGTAAACTACAAACCAGATTCCAAAAATGTTGGGACACTAAACAAATTGTGAATAAAAACTGAATGCAATGATGTGGAGATGACAAATGTCAATATTTTATTCAAAATAGAACACAAATCACAGATCAAAAGTTTAAACTGAGAGAATGTATCATTTTAAGGAAAAAATCTGTTCTTTCCAAATTTCATGGCATCAACAAATCCCAAAAAAGTTGGGACAAGTCCATTTTTACCACTGTGTGGCATCCCCCCTTCTTCTTACAACACTCAACAGACGTCTGGGGACAGAGGAGACCAGTTTCTCAAGTTTAGAAATAGGAATGCTCTCCCATTCATGTCTAATACAGGCCTCTAACTGTTCAATCGTCTTGGGCCTTCTTTGTCGCACCTTCCTCTTTATAGTGTGCCAAATGTTCTCTATCTTTCCTCTCAGGCTCTCATTGAGGTGGCAGCTTCTGTTTCTCCTCCCCCGTTTTTTTCCCTTCTTCCTGCTCTGCTCTCTGTGTGTCTGAAGCTCCTGGGTCTCATCTCCCGAACATAAATTAAGAAGATTATGGATTTGGTATCGTGGGCGTTCAACTCTATTGATAAGATTTTTTCATCAAAACGACAAGGTCCTGGGGAACCAGCGTGTCCAGCTGAGACTCATGCTGTGGGGTACGTCATGGATTCGTGGGGAGTTTGGCAATTGATGTGCATTACTCTTTTGTCTCGAGGATGTTGAAGACGTTTACATATTTGGATTTATGATAGCAGGGACTCTGTTTTTTGGCATCGGCGGGGCTCTGTTTTATCGACTTTTGAAAAAGACATCGGCAGCAGTTTTGGCCATGGAAAAGCTTCAGAGTCAGTGTGAAGTTCTGGTCCTCGCTATGGGAACTTTAAATCGTCTGGTCTACGAGCTTAACCATAAGGTGGAGGCGATTGAGAATCGTTGACCACCTGCGGCTTCTGGGACTCGTCAGCGTGGTGGGTTCGACCTTGAAGGTGACTCATAGCATGGATCAACGAAATGTAATCCCACAATTAGGCATTTTCGGAACCAGAACGCCCAGATGGACTCAAGGCTGAAGAAAAAAATCTGTCTGCCTCAAGATAAAACAAAAATCAAGCTTATCTGAATCAGACTCCCAATGGCCTCGGAGACAGGCTGACTATCAAATTTCTCCTGGGACATGAGTACCCAAGGACAAAAGCTTCATCTATCTTCCCCCCCGAGAACTTTCTGTGCAAGCTTATCAGAACTGCTGGCTGGAACAACATCTTCAGAAACTGTGGCTGATCTGAAAAAAGACTCATGGACAAATCTCAACACCTCGATGTCAAATGCAAATGTAATCATGTTTTAATTGTGCTTGCTGGTAGAGTTTTTTGATATCTCAAATCGTGTTCTGATAGACAAGATGTGAAAGGTCTTTTTTTGTAATACCACTACCTACCCTCATGTTTCTCCCACTTTTCCTATCTAAGATTATTATCTGATAAGGATAAAATGGCCGCGCTCTCCCGTAGTTGCAGCTTCGTGTACTCCACCCATCTTTCGGACGACTGTACGTACATATTCGCATTGTACCTCGGTGCAATTCCAATAAAGTTTATTTTGGTTCTTCTGATTTTATAGGTGAAAGATCTGGACTGCAGGCTGGCCATTTCAGTACCTGGATCCTTCTCCTACGTAGCCATGACGTTGTGATTGCTGCAGAATGTGGTCTGGCCTTATCGTGTTGAAAAATGCAGGGTCTTCCCTGAAAGAGATGACGTCAATATGGGAGCATTTGTTGTCCTAGAACCTGAACATAGTTCTCTGCATTAATGGTGCCTTCCCAGACATGCAAGCTGCCCATGCCACAAGCTCTCATGCAACCCCATACCATCAGTGATGCAGGCTTCTGAACGGAGTGTTGATAACAACTTGGGCTATCCTTGTCCTCTCTGGTCTGGATGACATGGCGTCCCAGTGTTCCATAAAGAACTTCAAATCGTGACTCATCTGATCACAGAACAGTCTTCCATTTTGCCACATTCCATTTTAAATGACCCCTGACCCAGTGCAAATGTCTGAGCTTGTGGAGCTTGCTTAGAAATTGCTTCCTCTTTGCACTTTAGAGTTTCAGCTGGCAACGGCGGATGGCACGGTGGATTGTGTTCACTGACAACGCTTTCTGGAAGTATTCCTGAGCCCATTCTGTTATTTCCTTGACAGTGGCATTCCTGTTTGAGGTGTAGTGACGTTTAAGGGCCCAGAGATCACGAGCATCCAGTAGAGTTTTACGGCACAGCGATTGTTCCAGATTCTCTGAATCTTTTGATGATGTTATGCACGGTTGATGATGATAACTTAAAAGTCTTTGCTATTTTACGCTGGGTAACACCATTCTGGTATTGGTGCACTATCTTTCTGCACAACAATAGTGGAATTGATGATCCTCTTACCATCTTGGCTTCTGAGAGACACTGACACTCTGAGAAGCTCTTTTTATACCCAATCATGTTGTCAATTGACCTAATTAGTGTTAATTGGTCTTCCAGCTGTTCGTTATATGCTCAATTTCCTTTTGCCAGCCACTTATTGCTACTTGTCCCAACTTTTTTTTGGGATTTGTTGACTGTGAAATTTTGAATCAACATATTTTTCCTTTAAAATGTTACATTTACTCAGATTAAACTTTTGATCTGTCATCTATGTTATATTACGAATAAAATATTGACATTTGCCATCTCCACATCATTGCATTCAGTTTTTATTCACAATTTGTTTAGTGTCCCAACTTTTTTGGAATCCGGTTTGTATTTAAACCTTCATATTGACTGCAGAACAACAAAATTCTTCCTTCCTCTTCCTGCAGAGCTCCAGTCTGAAGATGGCTTTGCTAGATTACATCAAGCGCTGTCTCCCTGCAGACAGTGAGAAGCACAACATGGTGGCTTTGTGTTTCAGTATGAGGAGGGAAATCGGAGAAAACCATGAGATAGCAGCCAGGACGCAGCTGAAAATGATAGAGTCTAGAGTGTGGGGTGAGTCAGAATATCAGTAACATCAGAAACTAGTAGTAGTTGACCATCTGCTCTGATCACAGTTTTGTTTTGTTTTTTCTCATTTTGGCTTTCTTTAACAGTTGTCACTCCTGATCTGAAGAATTCATTGACCAAGGTGTTGGCTTTGCTGAAAGATGCTGCAGAGAGCTTCTCCAAGGTACTGGAGTTCCTCTCTTTGCTAACTTCAGGATGCAGGAGACATTCTCAGTGTGTGTTTATGTCTGTGACTCCCAGGACTCGTGTGTACGTCAGGCCACTCACTGTGTCCAGACAGCTAAGCTGGTTGCTCTTCAGCTCCATTTCCTGAATCAGGGATCTGACCTGCGCATCATCAACCTCCAACCTGCAGAGATACCTGGTGCTGTCATGGTTCTGCCAAGATGCTACCAGGTATGTTCCAAAGTTTAGGTTTTGTCACTGTAAAAAAACTTTCTACTACCTTCTCACCAAGTGTCCTCACATTTCCACAGATGAGCAACAACCGTTGCTTCTCTAAGAGCATTGCTGATGTCTTTCTATCTTGGTATTGTATTAACCCATAGGGAAAAAATTCAGCCACATATTCATTTTTGTTTATTTTAATTTATTTATTTAAGTCAAGTCAAGTCATATTTATTTAAAGAGCACAATTTAAAACAGATAGACTGTTATCAAAGTATTTATTTGGGTATTGTGAATAAACATGACTGTGCAAGGCATGAAAAAGCTTCAAATTTTTTTTCTACTTTTCAGAATTGTTTACAGGCTCCCATAACCTCTCAATACTGAACTCTACTGTTCCTGAAGGGAAAAGTCAAACTACTGAAATCCATTATAAATGCATTGTTTTGTCTGATGTTCTTCATTTCATTAGTGTTCCTCATTTGTGCTAAGCCCAAAATACTTATATGAGTTTGCCTTCTTATGTGCCCAGCACCTGCTGATGGGGCCATATGAGTTGGGTGCATAGTGCCATGGGTGGTAGCTGAAGGTGGGGGCCATGGCACTGTGACCCTCATTTACCAAAACTGTCTCTAAAGCCCCTTTTCCTTAGCTCCTCTTTAGCACAGTTTGATTCGGTTTGGTGCGGTTCCAAGGCTTTTTCCACTAGCAATTTTTCATGGAACTGGCCCCTTTTTCAGTCCCTTCTTCTCTGGGGTATCAAGCAAGCCGAGCTGGCACCAAAATGTGATGTCATAACACTGTCGGTCACTGATTGGTCAGGGGGTGGAGTCACTGGTTCTTTGAGAAACTTTTCAAAACAATGATCTGCCATTTGCAATTACACGAACTCGGAGGAGCGATTGGACCTATTTTTAAGATTTTAAAACCAATAATGACAGCACCGTGGTCTAATGCTGAAATGCAGGCATTTGTAGTGCATGGTGGCTGACGACAAAATTCAGAGCGAGCTAGATGGAGCTCCGCGGTCCTCTCTACCGGAGCCTCGGCACCCTCTCAGGGCGGGCTAGGCGTCACCTTCCCGGCTCCGAGCTCCCCCAGCCACCGGGGCTCGGAGCTCTAGTCCCGTCAGGCAAGGGTTGGGACAGAGGGTTGAAACTATTTTTTCAAAGATTTTGTATATTTAAAAAATGTTTTTTTAATCAGTGAAGATTTTTTTTTAAAACTGTGCCGGCTTAATGACTTTATTAAATAATCTGTTAATTAAAGTTAACTCGGCTGAAAAATCATAAAGACACTAAATTATTGGATCTCTCAGGAATATTTCCCTCAAATATGTTTAAAGAAGAGATACAGCCTTTAGTTCAACTTTATTCTAACCCACAGATGTACAAATCACAAACAAGGATTCAACTTTAAAGCAAAGCTAAAAATAAAAAAAAATAATCTGTATACAAGAAACAAAACCACACATCTAAACTGAACAATAAAAGCACACGAGTGCAACTACATCAAATGATGAAGAAAACCTATAAAATTTTAAGTATAAAAAGATGTTTTTGTAGAATCTTCTACATCAGAGATTTAATGGTGAACTGAAGTTCATTAAAAGTTCATTAGCAGGATTAATATATATATATATATATATATATATATATATATATATATATATATATATATATATTGGTACGTCCGGTAAGATGGCGCCCGTGTACATGGCTTGCAGTCCACCTCTGCTGATGGTGTTCGGATTATTTTTGTTTTTTGCATTTCACATCTGTGACATCAACTCTCTACTCGTGTATGACAGACAACAACTTTTGGATCTTCGTTTTTCTGTCACTGAAGTCGCTTATTTGGACCATTATCAGCGTACCTCTG